TTGGCAATACATGCTTACTCTGTGATCTGTGTCAGAAGGTCAATTCCTTAAAACTGGTTGTGGTGATTACAGTTACATGGTTAAGACTTATTATTATGGATCTCCTTTGTCTTAAATAGATTTGCCGATTTTGAGAAGCTTTTAAGCAGGTAACAGTGTTGTAGCTCAGACCATCCACAAGACCAATCACAAAACCACACACAAGACCACGAGCAAAACCAGTCATTAGTAACAGGGTGAGCAACGAAAAAAGGAATACTTTTGTTCCAGTTCATCGGAATAGCTTGTGACTTGAATTTTGACTGAAAGTCTTGTGTGTTGATCCTTTGGGGTCTTAAAATGGTCTTAACTACAACACTGGGAACCCATTTGGCAAATTTGCATGTTACGTAAAGGTCAGCTGGAAGCCAGTCCACATACAATGTGTATGAAATAAATCCTGTGTTTGGATGTCCGTATTCAAAAGGTCCAAAATTGGCCTGGCTCAACTGAGAATTGTTACATTCCTAGCTGAAAGCAGAAACTCTGATTGCCTTGCCTCGGTTTTATATATATCCCCATCCATAGCTATTTTATTTGGATGTGTTGTTTAATTTATTAAAGCCTTATTCCATTCAAACTTTACTTCAGGTCCAGTGTGAAAGGCTGGAGAACTTTATCTGTTATATCCATAGTTCCACATGTACATCCTGTAAAGAGACCACACCGTGCATAATGCCCAGTCTTGGAGAACTGAGGCCACGTTTTCTAACTGCATCTCTGTAACCCATGAAAACAGTCCACTATCTACAAACCCAAAGGACTGAGCCAAAAACTTTATTGTCATTAAAGTAAGCATCCAACTCATCACATCTCTGTGGTGGTTGCCAATATAGGGGTGTACCTCCAAATGGATTCAGAAATTTATTATTCTCTCAGATTGTAAAATTTCCTTCAACTGATTTCTGTCTTTTCTTTATACTGTCACTTTTTATGCATTTTGAATTTCCAACAAATGCTGTGAAGAGATGTACTGGATATTCTGTGGAAAAATATTGTCTGCATTAAGCCTGTTGAGAAAATATCTTGAATGGGTACAATTCACAATATGATCATCACTAAAAACTGGACTGCCATTTGAAATAATACTGGGAATCATTTGGCCTAATATCCTTCTTCCGTCAACACTCTAACAGGACTGTTTCCTTCACAACGTGCTACATTAATTACATTATCTACAGGTTGCAAACTTCCATGTATCCCTTGTATATGACTGCTCTTCAAATTCTTGTTCTAAGTTACTTTCATCTATTACATTATCACCCAATAATGGATCTCAACAATCACAACTGATTAGAATTTCTTTGTACCAAATATACTCTGCTTAGATAACTTTGTGCATTTTCCTCTTCAACTTCACTCCAATTAACTAAATACTACTTTCACTTGGCAATGCTGCTACTGTATGTTTTAATGTGGGACGGATGGCACACAAACAAATGGACCATGTGGGGACCATGAAATGGACTACATGTATATGGGAAGTGCTACAGCCTTCACATGAATCCAGTTATGTCTTTAAACATTGAAACAGCTCAATT